CTGTAGGTGGGGGGGGGGGGAGGTTTCCTTCAGAGAGATTACCGGCAGTTCTAGCACATGAGAACATTTTCATTTTCCCAAGCTTTCTAGTCTTGCATCTAAACATTAAAAATACTAGTTTTCTGTTACTTAGTTTTAGATGTTAAGCTGTATTTTTGTATTCTGACTCCTTTTGTACTTGCAAAGCTAAGAAAATATTTGCTATTATATAGAAAGGCATGTAAGCAAACAACTCAATGCCCCTGGCTTACAGAATGAGGCAACAGATGATAACGTTTAATATTATCTGATAATTCATTTGGTATAAACAAGTTGGTATAGAATCATATGTCTATGTACATTTTGAGAGGAAAGTGAAAAGAATATTCCAAAATGACCTGCTACATGAGGTAGAGCAATAGCAATATACATGTCTAGAATGCCATTCTCCCCATTGGTTATATTCTAATTTCTATGAATTTAAGACAACTATTGTTTTTATAGGTTTATAATTCTAGATTATACTAGAACACTGTTTCAAAAGACTTATCTACAGCAAACTAAAACCATAAATGTAGAAATTTCAGTGTTGCATTTGGCTGATTTCTTGTATATATACAACTAAATATAAACATTTAGGCACTCTGGTCAAATGGTGTGTTTCAGTTGATCCTAAAGCGAACCAACATTGGAATAATCTCTGCATGGTACAAAGTTGCGGATGACATATTTCTGCAAATTGGAATGCATACTTTCTCATGTACCATTGTTTACAGATTCAAAGAAAACAATATGGCAGGTGCAAAGGTTTGGACACCCTTTCTACCACTTCTTTGTAGCATTTCCTTTGCTAGAAATAACAGCTTCCAAACATTTCCGGTAGCCGGCTTAGATCCTGCTTCTGGATTTCTTTTTCTTTTCTTTTCTTTTTTTTTGAAAGCTTGAAGATCAAAACACATTTCTGCTAGAACTGCAAGTGATCAGATCTACAGAACCCACAGATCACGAAATGACTTGCTTAAAGGTTTAGCTGAAGAGGAATAGTTATCCACAGGTCCACAGGATATAGTTGCTTATACACTTAGATCTTTGGGACAATTGTAAGAAAACTTCCTTGACTTTGTAACAAAAATAATCTAAAGTATGTAAAAAAAAACCCTCAAGATAAACCTGAAATATTTTGGAACAAAATGTTTTGCACTAAGGAAACAAGTTGAAATGTGAAGTGACAACCACACAAGATACATTCTGAGAAAAAGGAATGGCTGGGTGGGTGCTGTGGCACTGTGCAAGTGCGGGCGGGCAGGTTAGGGGCTGCTGCAGCATGAGCGCAGCTGGGCAGAGTGCAGGCAGGCAGGTGCTACGGAGTATAAGATACTGGATCTCTGGTGCTACAGGAGTACGAGATCCTGCTTTTTAACTCGATCCTGGCGCTACGGAGTACAAGATCCTACTTTTTCTCCTGAGGAGTCCACTATGGAGTATGAGATCCTGGGATCTTATACTCCGTAGTGGGCTCCTCAGGAGAAAAAGCAGCAGGAGTGACTTAATGGGAGCGACTTTTGACCTTCCCCACCAGCTTTCCCATTGACTTAGCTTGTGGAAAGCTGGCAGGGAAGGTTGCAAATGATGATCATGTGACCGTGAGACACTGCAACCCATCATAAGTGCAAGCTGGTTGCCAAGTGCCCAAACTGCAATCACATGACTGTGGCGGTGCTGCAACAGCTGGAACTTCAAGGGCCAATGGTAAGTACCACTCATTCAGCACTGTCACAACTTCAAATGGTTGCTGAATGAGTGGTCGTTAACTGAGGACTACCCATACCCCCATAATGGAACAAAAATAAGGGCAAAAGCTCATGGAATTATGTTGGAACAAACACCATCTCCACAGCCAAACTCCCATCCGTGAACCAATATTGTTGTCAAACTGATCTCACTCGAAAGTTGGTAACTTATTTTTCAGCCTAACCTACTTTATCAAATGAATGTGAATTTAAGAACAGGGGCTAAGAGATGCATGGTATAACCACCCTGTAGTTCTTGGAAAAAAGAATAGTAATTTCACAGAAGTTGTGTATTGTTAAGGAACCTTTTTCAAGAACAGTGTTCCTAGCTTTGCAGGTCCATCCTATGCAGGTTAAACAGTCATAAGCCCCTTGATTTCACTGGTTTTTTGTTTGCCTCTCTCCTAATATTAACTGGGACATTGACATACCGTCAGCCCTTCAAGGTAGACCAGGGTAGGAAACCAAAGTCATACATGCTGAATGTACTACCCCCTCCCTCCCTATATCTTCATGAGAACTAGGGAGGGACATGTCCCAGATGCTTTCTCAAATTATATTCCTGCCCTGGACTCAGATTTCTTTTTTCTGACTGTTGTCTTAGTTGTGGCTCTTCCTCCTGTTCCTCAAGGTTATTTATTCTGCCCATTACATATATATGCATTTTTATTCTACTCTTCAGTTTAATAAAGACTCCCAGCAGTAAGGACACTGCTCAAGGCCAGCTGGAATCTCCTCTCCTGACAGATGTGGAAAATGTTTGGTTATAAAAATTTGGTTATCCTCAAGCCATGGGTTAAACTGGGTGATGAACCCCTTGCAGTGTTCCGGTTTTTTAAATGAGTGCTGCTTTTTCTGGACTTTTGATGATTTTTGTGATTTTATATTATTTTTCTCATTGTATTTTGTACACCATCCAGAATCATAGCAAATCGGGGTGGCCTATATATTTAATAAAGAAAGAAACAAATAAATAATTAGAAGAGGGAAATGCGTGAGGCTTCTATTTTATGTTCTGCTTTGAAAGACTTCCTAAAAACCAAATTACACAGGCCAGATCTGGCTCCTACTGGAAAGCTAAAAACGAAACTAAATTGCTGTATCTGCGTGGCTTTCCTGTTCCTCCCCAGCTCACTCCGATAAGCATCAGGTACCGGCAAGGCGTCCTCCCTTGGCTACCTGGTTTTCCCCGGCTCGCCCTTCTGCTTTGCCATTGGTGCTCGGTGACTGTAGCGACCGAACTGGCCAGTAGAAGGCTGCGCAAGCACAAACGGAAGCTGGACGTCGTGATGATGTTTCCTAGGGTGAGGCATTACCCTTATGGTTTTCCTAGATGGTACTTTCCATTGTCCCCTTTTCCAAGGTAGTACATCCCGCTCTCTCGCTCTTCTGCTCCACGCCCTATCCCGCCCCATTCACGGCACCTTGACGAGGGGAAGGAAGAGGGTGGAGGAGGGAAGTTGCCGTAAAGACCAGGAATGTTCCGCCTCAGGAGAGCAAGCGGTGATTAGCCAAGGAAGAATGCGACGTGCGCTTCAATTGGTTAGGAGGCGGTATTTTAGGTCCCGCCCTCTGTTGAGGGACAGGCAGGCGGCGCTGGGCTGTAGTTCGACTGAGGGACGGGCCCGGAGGAGAAACGGACGGGGGTAAGGAAAGGGGAAGAGAGGCGGATGGTTTCATGGGGAACTTCGGAAGCGGGAGGGGCTTAAGGCGCGAAGGAGGCTTTGGCGAGGCTGAGTTAAAGGCTGCCGAAGGACCCAGGCGTCCGAGCATCCGTCGCTCTTCCCCTACCCCCCTCCGCGGGAGCAGGCTTCCTGCGTGTTTGCACATGTCGAAAACCCGGCCGGGGTTGCTTGGATACACGATCCGATGAGGTGCAGTTGCCCGCGAGGCATCTTGCTGGGAAAACTGTCAGTTGAGGCGAGAACCAGGAATCAGAGGTCCACTGAATGGAGTTGTGGATTGTGTCGGTTTTCTGCACTTTTTTTTTCTTCTTTCTTCTAAGTTTCTTCTTTTTTTTACTTTTCGGGGGGAGGGGCGGGGAGACTTGATATAGATAAAATAAAGTGAGCATACGTGGTGTAAGTTCTGAGCAGATGTTATGGCCCTAAGACTACACGCAGTAGGATCGGGTTTAATCAAGGGGAGTTAATTAATGGCTGCTTTAAATACCCACATTGACAATATAAGGACTCCTGTGACTCTTGTCTGTTTAGCTTTTGCTGTTCCTCATACTGGTAGGGTAGGAGAATGTACTGGCAAGTTACCTCTCTGTTCTCATTGATGAGAGGATTGGTTTCATGATTGACCTTTGTTTTCCTTTAATTGTAGTGTAAGTATTGAGGTAACTTGGTAGCTACACCCAAATGCTGACTACCAGAGGAAACTGACTTTCCTGTCTTTCCTAAGAAGTTGTGAACAGAAAATGGTGTATTGTATGGTTTGGTTTAATTTTTCTCTTGTGTTCTGTACAGCTTTCCAAATTGTTGAAAACTTCCACTTCTCTTATATATGGGTTATCCTGCTTTCACTGAATTCTGCTTGGCTTTGTAACATGAATTGCTGGGCATAACAAGGATTCCCTCTCTCTTGTAATTATAATTATGCTGTTTCAGAAGTTGAAGAATGCATATAGTCTAGTAGTCATTAGTTGCCCACGCTTTCATTTCAGGCTTTATTTCAGAGGTGAAATAAAGATGAGCTATATTTATTTAGCTAAGATAATAGCTACATAGTTCTGACTTCAAATTTCCATATCATTTTGGCCAGTACCTTGCATCAACCTAATGCTTGTCAGACTAACCAGAACTACACATAAGCTATAGCTAATGTGGTTGTTGGGAGGGCGGGAGGCGGGGTTGTTGGTTATATATTCTTATGATTTAGTGTTTTTAATCACTGTAAAGGGATACCTCAGCCTCTCAGAGCCTTTTCTGTTTGGAGCAGGATGTAAGCCCTAGTAAGTAAATAAATACATGAATAAATGTAACCTAACAATTGAGTACAGAAGTTGGCAGTCTACAACTTGAATGATCACATAACTTTTAAATATGAAGTTTATTATATGTTTGCCAAAAAATCATGCAAATATTTAGAGTTATTTCTGGAAGATTCCCAATAAAGATTTGATAGGGGTTCCAGTAGTTTTGGGGTAACCTTGGCAGCATTCTGCCAAGTGCTTTTTTCCCCTTGTCTCCTCTTGTCATCAATTTTTAACCATATCATTAATGTTCTCCTCTATTTGTCTTCATTCCAAATTCTTTGAAGTCTTCAGGGCTTTGAAGTCTTGATCATGCAGCAGAATATTTATGAAAGATGTGCCAGGATGAGATGTTATCAATAACATTCTACTAATGTGGATACTCTTATAGAATATATTCAACCCATGCCATATTGTTTCTAATCTCTCTGTTCTATGCAGATGTGTACAAGACGCCCCATCTTTTGCCTATATTCCTATGTAGTTTCTTTTGCTTGTCATGAGGAGGTCATTGACTATTAGTCCCTGAATCAGAAAAGTATAGCTACTCTAGTGAGGGATATTGTTTGTTAGCTTTTCTCTGATAACTCAGGGAGCACATTAAGCCCTGTTATTTCTCTTTTTCTTTCTTCTTTGATGGTTGCTTAAATATTAAGTCCTAAAGGAGTTGCCTTATTTATGAAATCTAAGTGTTAAACAGTAGTAGTATTGGTCACAACAGCTGGTAAAGCTGCCAGGTTTTTAAAATAAGGATAATAAATTAATATACTTTAAAGGAAATATGTGTTCAAGAACTTAAAATGCACTCCTAACTTGGAAGGAAAGGCTCTTGAATTTAGTGAGACATCATGTAAATAAATATACATACAGGAATAGAATGCTGGGGATAGACAAAAACTAAAGATATCTATCACTAATTGATGGAGAAGCAAGCAGAATGAATGTTTTAATATCAAATAGATTGCGAAACTGCTGATATTGAAGCAGAGTGCTTTTAAAATAAGAAAGCAGCATTTTTACTTAATATCTAGAATATATCTTCAGCTGTAAAAGTGATGTTGAATGGCTAGTTATTTAGTGATTTGACAGCCATTTCTACTACAGATATTAAGCAGGGGCTCCGCAATCATCCTTTCAGTTGTTATTTGTCAAATTGATCTGTTTGAGGGTTTAAGTTATTCAGAGCTTAGAATTTGAATGCTTATCCTAACTGGTTACAGATAAATTTCTACTTCAGTATGGAATGTCAACAAGACTGAACAGCTTTATAAGAAGTTCATGGAGTAGTTCTTGATTTATTTGATTTCTCAAAATTGTATCTGCTTCAAGCAGCCCAAATCTTGAAATTCAGAACTGCTTTACAGAAGTTGAAGGCTGGAGGTATTAATGTCTGTATTATGGGGGGGGGGGGATATATCAGCACTCTATGTCTGCTGTCTACACAGATTAATTCAGCATTTTGGAAACTTGACATGAAAAAAGTATTTAGAGTTAATTCAAAAATATATAAATGCCTATAGTTCTGGTGGATTCATTTCAGAATGTGGATGTTGTTATGAGCAGTTTTTAGAAATGGAAGCAAAGATCTAAATTTAAGGGGAAAATCTATACTTCACTAAAATGGGTTTAAGATAAGATCTTGGTCTCTGTGGCTGAGTTTAGGAAAGAAGCCAAGGAGGCTGTAAATGCAGAGTACTGTAATTATATCTAGGACTTGAAAATGATTGAATGCGTTATAGTATAGTGGAACTTGCAATATGAAATGAGGCCAAATTTTGTTGGATAATTGTGATGATATTTGAGGGGAAAAGGCAGTACTTAGATTGTACAGTGCTTTGCCCTGTAACTTGGCTGAATTCCTCAATGTGGAGCATAGTCTGGCTATGTTCCCTTGCTGTCCCACCCTCTAGGGAACACCCTGAAGCAGTTTTTCTGCTTTGAATCAACTTGCAAAGAAGTTCTCCACCCTGATTCCAGAATAGAGATATTGGAAACTTTTCTCTAGAAGGGAGTCTGCTGTGGCACTTGCACATTCTCACTGTTAGGTTGGGGGCATATAGCTTGCAGCAGTGCTGGTTCTTGTGTCCTGGTAATTTCTTAAGTACAGTATCCTTCCTTTAAGGAAGGAGTCACATATTTGGAACAAAGATGTGGTTTGCCTCCATTATGGTTGACTTTGATTCTGTAGTAACATGTAATTTGTTTTCTATTTACAAATGCCAGCACAAAACTTTGGTGAATACAGTAGACTGTCTCTGACATTGTTTTAAATATTGGTTTACTGTATCTGGTGGTATTTACTTACTAGCTCTCTCTATGTTTTTTTTAGTTGGTCTTTTCTCAACTAAAGGGAAGAATTCTGGAGTCCTCAATTATTCCTTAGGAATTTTTGTAAAGCAGTCATTGAAGGGATCCCCTGAAATATGCTGGAAGACAAGTTTTAGAGATTTGTATTATGGGAATGATAGTGATATAACAAAGAGTGAAATTAAAATGAATGCTTTACATGTCGAAGAAAAACTTGATTAAAAGGTATTTGTAAATGCTGTAAGATTGTTGAAAAATTGTAAGGTTGCAAGTGTAGATGGTGTAACTGAAGAAATTATAAAATATGGATGTGGTCTGCTTAGGGAATAGCAGTGCAACTTATTTAACATGTATATATGTTTTTGATGACTGTATCTCTGCCCAACAATTGGAATAATGCTGTTATTTACCTATGCAATGAAACATATTAGTGAATGCAAAAACTATTGTGGGATTGGTCTGTTAGATGTGCCTGGGAAGGTGAAAGGAAATCAGAGGTGAGAATGAGCAATAAGCAGTGTGGCTTAATGCCAGGCATGGGTAGTGCAGACCAGATTTTTGTTATTCAACAGATTATGAGAAATACTGTATATGAATCTGAGATAGAAAGTCTGTCATACATTTGATTTGGGGAGAATGTATAATAGAGTTGACAGATTTGAATTATGAAATGTTTTAGATTACTATAGAGATGAAGATTGGTAAGAGTGAATGACTAAGGTAAGATTGATTTACGATTTGAGTTATAATGCATAACTTCTTAAATTCTTTCATGCATGAGAATAAGTGAAATGGTCCAGCACAGAGCAGGGAGTAAAACAGATGTGCGAGGCCTTCTTGACTATTTAATGCATTTATAGAGAAGTGTTTAAGGAAAGTTTATGATGATATTAGAGGTGTGCTGGTTGAGGCTGTGAATGAGAATGTATTTTTGTATGTAGAAGATAGAAAGTTGTTGATTGAGAACTCAGATTATTTGCAATGACTGTTAGTTTGTACGTTCCAATGAGGAATAGGAATATGTATCTGAAAATCAATGTATCAAAGACCAAGGTAATCATGTTTGACAAGGAAAACAGAGTGAATAAATGCAAGTTATACATAAATGGTGAAACTAGAACACATAGATAAATTTGTGTACCCTGTATAAGATATGCAAATACTGGCAGAAAGATCTTGGGAGTATGTGATCTGTTGTGAGGAATGAATGTTTGTCAGAGAAGAAAAGTGTGTGTCTATAAGAATGTGCTCCTGATCACTACTGTATGGAAGTGAAAGTTGGGTATTCAGAAGAAACATATTACTAAGCTAAATGCAATGGTAGTATGTGTGTAAAGTAAGAAGAGATGGAGTTAAGAATGAATGAGTAATGAATCAATGAATGTGGACTGAATACAAAAGTGGGTGACCAAAAAGGAAGAAGTACTTTGAAGTAATTGTACAGAGAGATTGAATAAGGATTGGGTTACAAAACAAATATATGAAAAAAGAATTGATGGGTCTAGAGGAAGTTTTGGGAAGTTTAAAAAATAAAAGGCAATCTGTGTATGGACATGGTAGAAGCAAGAGTAGAAAGGTATAGTGGATGGTATAAGCTAAATGTAACTATATTTCCCTTTCTTTTATCCCATCTCTTTCCTCCTCCTTTTCTTCTTTTCTTATAGTATTGATTACAAAAA